GCTGCCTCAGCTGGCCCCCGCAGCCCCAGCTTCATTCAGAAGATCCAGATGGTCGTTCTGCTGTTCAGTGTAATTAGCATATTAGGTCTTCATTGGATAGGATTTGGTTAATATAATTCACTCAATATAAATTTATGCTGCTATGAAAAAAGCACCTAGATTTATTGAATTTTAAGCCATGCCTGCTGTTGCCTTGGCAGGGCCAGATCAAATGATTCAGTGGGCCTTAAATAGCCTGAGGGCAAGATGTTCTCCAACTTTGTTCCAGAGGATGCCCCTTCATAATTCCAGATATGGCCTCACCCATTATCCCTGGTTCCCACAACCTGTGAGCTGTCCCTATTTGAGGCTTCAGTGGCCTCTGTCATACTTCTCCCAGATGCCATGGAAGATGGGCAGGAGGAGGCAGTAGGCCTGGCGGTGAAAGGCTGTCTGGAGTCCCAGACACACTGGTTTTGATTCACTGCTCTTTCATGGGTCAGTTATGTCATCTTAGAAGTTGCAAATCAAGTGTTAAACCTTTATGCAAAAATAGGAATAATAGTAGAGTTGTTTCTCCTGGGGCTGTTGAGAGGATTGAATGAAATCACCTCTTTCTTCCTTCTCTCCCTCTCTCCCTCCTCCTGCCTCCCCTCCCTCATAATCCCGTGCATGCTATAAAACCCCTGTTTAGCCTTCCATGTTCTCTAACATACTACCTGGTGTATCATACTCCCTCTAGTGCATGATCTAACACCCTCTACATCCTCTTCTGTGGAGATCACAGTAGGTTATTATCCTCATTTTACACTTGGGGAATGGAGGTCCAGGCTAGTCAAGGAAGTTCATATTCTCCCAGCTTGACAGAGGAAGGGACCCAACCAATATGCACATCTCAGTGCTCTTGTTGTTTTACCTGAGACACGTCAGAGACGTGTTTGGGGTTACCTGCTCAATCCTGAGTTTGCCCATTTCCATTACTATCCAGGGCTCATACCTGGAAGCAAGTACGCAGTACACATGTCCTTACCATAGACACTTTCTTCATCTCTTGCCATCTTCTGTTCTCCCATGTTTACCTGAAAGAGTCCCAAATACCATTCATTCATTCTTCAAACAGGTATAACTACCTATGATGTGTCAGCTCAACTCCAAAGAGCTGGCGACAACACAGTGACAAAGTCATTATTCCTGCTTCCCCTGAACTTCAGAATTGAAGGAAAAAACACTGGAAGGGCTGGGCTGGGCTTGGAATGATATTGTGAGAACATTTCATGAGCTTGACTTTGTTTTTTCAGGGACATAAAATCCAAAGGGCAGAAGGGAAATTTTAAGACTCATGCCAGTGAGAAAGTTTTAGACATTAAAGTTTCCCTAGTAATTCTATGTGATAAAATCTGTAGATACTTCAATTTCCCAGGAGCTTCAGAAGCCAGGGGAGACTTTGGAAAACAGCAAGAACTTGAAAATTTGTTCAGT